CATCACATTTTGCTCATTCTACTCCTGAATTAGTTTGTTTTTGGCTAAAAGTTTCATTACAAAAAGAATGTAATTCTCTTCATTATAAATGAAAGAAGTAATCTAATTCTTGACAACAACTAGAGTAATCTCTCTCTATTTGACTGTTCACCTGACTACAGATTTCAACTTCAGTTACTCCAGAAGTAAACATGGAAGCATTCTACTGCTTGGTCTCTGTATAGATATAAGGAAACACAGCATGTTAAATCTTGAATGTCTCATTTTGGGGATTTTAACCTTTTAACTACTGTTGTGATTTGTGGAGTTGGTGTTTGTACACTGATTATACTGTATGTGTCATTGAGTGTCTTGGCCTTTTCTTTGAATCTTTTGCAATGTGGAGCTTTTTGAAGAAACATTAAGGATCAGCTGCAAAACGCGATAAGCCACTCAGTAAAGAAGCTGACAGATTCTTTGAAAACAAGCTTTGACATCAGAGAGGTGGCTCACCCCGATAAACTCCTTGTCTCCTTAGAATAGCCGAAGAAGATTTCCCCCCGCATTCTCTTTGCTCTCGCACTACTCGCTAGCATCCTAATCATCCGGCCTGTTGTAAATATACACTGCGTATAAATAGAGGATACTGAGACCTGAGACATTTGGATCCAGTTCCGAGGAGGAAGAGGTTTGTGTTCTGCTGCACTGGGTGGTTTGGTGCAGGGTGTCCATGACTGCGGTCAGGTTTGAGGGGCACTCGTACAAATTTTAGAACCGCTCCTGCCGTCACCGCTGTGCTGCGGGCTCAGTGCAACATTTCATCTGCTTAATGGTGGATTAAAGCATCCTGTGGGCAGATTGATATAGGTCGATGCTATCACTTGTCATTAAAGGGCAGAGGAAGCCCATGGAAACAGGCTGGATATAGAAGCTGGATCAGACCCAAACACCGGGCAAGTCATCCCTGTAGATGGAAATTATAAAAATATTATATGCCTCATTAAATTGAACAGGAAGCATGTATGCATATATCTAGGTCTGTTCTTTAGTAATAAACCTGAAATGGATACAGCAGTTAACTGGGCTTTATTGTGTGTTGAACTGCGAACTGATATATTTCATATGGATATACTTTAGCACCATTAAACATTATACAACCTGCAGTCATTATGTTTAGGTTGAATTAGCAGCAATAACGCCACGACTACACATCTATCAAAAGAACAACTGTGCCAAAAGGAGAAAAGTGGCTTCTTATCCAGAAGTGCGTGCAACAGTGTCGAGGGATTCTTATCTTTTAACACTGTAGCAGCATATGATAATGACAAAAACATCTTGGACAAAGTTATATTATTTTTATTTAATACATTCAAATGACACTCACATTATAGCAGTTAGCATAACTGGAAACTAAAGCAGTACCAAATGGGAAGGAGATGAAACAGCAAAATGCAGCATCTACAAAAAAATGTGCATCCTACATAGATACAAGAATAATAATTTACATCCAAAAGCCCTAATGTTTATATATAATATAGCAATTATTGTAATTCTGTATTTTACATATGCATGCCAAAAATACTGGTCTGTATTGGAAAAGCGCAGTTTTCAAGTCCATATTTCAGGATATCTTTTGATGAGTTAGCATACAGTAGACTACCAGTGCTTGTATTTACAGGAATTTGTGATTTTATGTACATTTTTAAAAAATAATTTTCAAATAGGTTATGAATAATAATGCTGAAAAACTTTTTTCTGTGTCCCATATTGTAAAATTGCAGCAACATTAACATTTAATCTATAAATCCAGCAACCACTTTTAATAAACCTTTCAACACACACAAATTATCTATTAATAAAATGAGTAAAAAGCTGAGCTCAGCTGACATTTAACTTTGAAAATGCTGCTTTGTCCCAAAAAATGTGCTTCCATCATGGAGGTGGCTGTGAACTAGATTCTCGACACAGTGTGAGCAGAAGTGTCCTCTTTCAATGGGGTCACTTGAGTTTTTCGTTGGGTCTGAAAGACAGGGAGAGGAAAAAAAGAGACAGAATGATGAAAACAATGTATCCTGTCCCACAGTCACGTGTCTTGAAATCACCTGCTTTTTCCACTTGTAACTTCTGCTTTGGCCAAGTTTATGTGGCCTTTGACTTGACCTCTGACCTCTGTGGAGAAACATCTGTTTGAGGGAAAGGATAACTGACATAATCCCAGTTCCCATCTATTGATGTGATTTACACTTAACCATCAAGTGCCTACAAAAACAAGTGTAGCACCTGGGGCTAACACTGTGAGGGCTCATCTTTGGATTTATCCTGATATTTTTATTAATAAATACACAATTATCTAGTTGTGTGAATGGGATTTTCCCTATCTTCACTTTTCAACAGCTTTCCACTGATGCCCACTGATGCATCAAGCTTTCACAGTCCTTAAGACCCAAAGTTGTTTTTCAAAGAGGTATTTTTCTCTCACAACTTCCACTTTTAAATTTGACCTGCGTTAATCTGCAGCCAATATAGAAGAGTTTTAAGACCTGAAAAGAGGTGACTCAGGCTCAGGTTGCAGATAAGACTTCACATTGATCCTGGTTTATAAAGTTCTGCTGGGCTGAGCCACAGGGATAGATAGGGATCTGTGGAAACCAGTTAGTCACTGTAGTGAAACATAGCTGCTGAAAGAGCGGGCATTCCAAGAAGGATTTAGCCATTTGGAAGAAAATGCTCAGCTGAATCTCATGTAAATATGTTCCTCTGTTGTTGGTCCTACAAACACAAAATGAACAAATGTATTTCAGCTGAAACAAAGACATATTCAGAGTTTTTAGAGCTATATTTGTTTCTGTATCTTCCCTTATATTTTCATCTAAAGGAGAAAAAAAAACATAGTTTAAAGCTTAAAAAATTAATTCATAAAAAAACAAACAAACCAAACCCCCCTGACATTACAAATCCCTTTTGCGTAATGGCTGATTATGTATTATAGCAGGATAATGTACTCTAGCCAGGAACGCATTTCAGTGTCACATCACCTATCACTGAAGTGAACTTGTAAGTGATTTATTAAATCTCTATTTGACACGACATTGACATGGCAAGGAAAGTGCATGAAACAGAAGTCAGAACAACTGGAGCAATAAAAATGCTTTACACCTGATGGATTGATTACTGCAAGGTGAAGTAATATGAACTGAAATGTACAGGGATGTTGTTCACAGCAAAACAACATAACATGAGGATTTATGGTTTAGCTGTAAATTTTCTGTTTAAAGAATGCCAACAAAATGTTACACATTTTATGAAACAAAACCCTAGATTTATTAAAATGATGCAGTACTTTTCATTTCCGAATTGTCACTGAAGAGTCAGGCTGAGGTTTGTCTGAAGAGATTTACCTGATACATGACTAAATATGGAAAGAGGTAAGTTTCACTGCAGCAACAGTGCTGTCAATCCTGTTAATTTTTGGTGTAATCTGTAAACTTTGAGAGCTTGTTGCTCCATAATATACAAGCTTTATAGCTCAGATATGAAGTGCACATATAAATGTCACTGCATTACTGTAAATTAGAGGAAAGTGAATTTTCTGAAGGAGATGATGTGAAGAACATCCATCCATCCATCCATCCATCCATCCATTCAAAACCTCCAAATGAAGGCACCCAGGAGACGAAACAGAAATAGCATTGGAGACTAGGGGCAATCTTGTTCCCCAAGGAACCCTGTATCTCTGTGAAGTACACGATGTCAGATATGCTTGTTTTGACAGTGCTGACTGAAACAGAGTGTTGGAGAGTTCAAATAAAGTAAGCTTTTATAGCTTATTAGCTGTGTTGTACCATCAGTTTTCATTGGAGCGCTTGTCTTGGAAGATGTCTAGCTCAAAGATATGTTCTCTCCCCTTAACAAGTTCTTATTGAAACAAATAATGTAGAATCTTTAGAGCAAATGCCAGGTGCAGTAAATGTGAAAACAGAAAAAAAGCTTGAGGAGCTGTTGACTGACTGGTAATTGCGTGTTCCTGGCTAGCTAGAATGTAAGCAGTTAACTTGCCAGTAACAGTAGCTCACCAACAAGCCCTGTGAGTCATCAAGCTTCTACTCATTAGTGTTTGGTGCTGTAATATGTGGGATGTTCATCGTGTTCGTTTTTGTTGTTTTGAAATAAATGTTTTACCATTAAGTATGTTCCAACATTAACGTGCATCACATGAAAGGAAAGTGAAGGTTTAACATTTTTCGGGTCTGTCTTTCAGCATCATGTAAGACTCCACCTGAGCTCACTTAAAACTGTGCGTGAATGAGAGACAGAGATGTAATAAAGCCATGGTGTGACTCTGACAGTTTGACACTGCCTGAGGAATGCGAAGCCGATGCCGGAGGCGATACCAGCAGGTGGATGAATGTCCGTCTGTCAGCAGGCCTCCTGATCACAGCAGCTCTGCCAACTGCACAAAGCCAGAGCAGGAATGTTTAAACCAGCCTGGAGAGGACAACAAGAGAGGAAACTGTCCTACAACTGTAGACCTCATGGGGCTGGCATTCTCAAGGAGGTCACTGAAAGAGTCAGCTGCCCTCGGATTTTGGCTTTTTGTCATGAAAGCGGTTGTAGCTACGTGCTGTGTTCATAAATTTAGAAGAACCTTTTTAGCCAGGCTGGCAGTCTGGCTCTAGGGATCAAGTCGAGGTCTCTGCAGACCATGAGTGGACATTTCAGAATCAAAGTGTGGGAACTAAAGCAACCAGTGGGCTTTCTACTGGTCCGAGGATCAGTTTGTTGGTCCTTCATGCTGACACTGAAATATCTAGGTGACTATGGATATTCATGGTTCCCACATCATCTGACTTTTCCTCTAGATTGAACAAAAGGTTCACACTCTTGATTTAGACAAGATTATCATGGCAACTACTGACACTTAGAACAGATATTCAAGTACACAGAACACACTTGGTGAGGATATTTTTTTTTGTCCAGTGCTTTAGCAATATATCTGCAAAACAAATGACATTCCTATTAGTCTTAGCTTTACTTTATGTTTAGTATCAGTTTAGATTTGGATGCCCTCCATCCATTTTCTTCTGCCTGACCAAGATTGGGTGACAGTGGCAGTAGGCTAAGGGCATTCCAGATGTCCCTCTCCCCAGCAATGTTTTTCACTTCTTCCTGGGGGATCCAAAGGCCTTCCAGGCCAGATGAGATCTATAATCCCTCCAGCAAGGTCTGGATCTACCCTGGGATCTCCTACCAGTTGGTCGTCTCCGGAAAACATCTAAACAAGGGTGGCCTGGAGGCACCCTAGTCACATGCAGGAACCACCTCATTGTTTGGGTTGGAGCCTAAGTATTGGCCTCACAGAACCTCTAGCATTGCTGTAGACTCTCAGGGCAAACCCAGATAAGGCAGGATTGAGCTGTACCGTACCTAAGTCCAGTTTCCTCCCCTCTCAACTCCTGCTAACACACTCAAAATAATGTTGCCTGAGCGCCACTATAGCTCACCTGGTTGAGCTGGCGTCCCATGTGCAGGGCTACAATCCCAATGTGGAGGTCCTGAGTTCGATTCCTGCTCATGACCCTTTCCCACATGTCCTCCCCCCATTCTTCTCCCCTACTTTCCTGTCTCTCTCTGACTAAAACTATCCAACAAAGGCCAAAAAAATAACTTTAAAAAAAAAAATAATATTGCCTGATTATGCTTACATCATCCTTACAACACTTGCACCAAATCCAGTTGATACCACTCCTCCAACTATCTTTACAATCGAACACTATTTCATGTTTCTGCTGCTTTGGTTTTGAATGCACAGACAAGGATGGCACTCTGCACACTTTTAGATTTAATAAACGTATGTCTGTTTGATTCTAGATGCTTTTGTGTAACCAGACACAAAAAAAGCATTCAACTTCATTGTGAGACTACAACAATTCTTTAGTGGATTCTCTTGTACTGTGACTGAGTACGCTACACGGTGTTCACATCAGCAAAGTAGACTTTGGATTCAAATGAACTCAAGTGCAGACTGGACTACAATTGTTGAAGCACATTTTGTCTTGTATATTTTAGGCTTCAGTTGAATATCTTAGATTGTTATATATCTAAATGTATAACCAGGTTTATTAACCATCTCACCTGTACAGATACATAAAGTAGAAGTAGAACTCACAACAGGATATAAGTGATTTCTCAGGTCGTTGACCCAACAGTTGTAAACATTTAACCCTCTTCCCAATCAGCAACAAAGACAAGACTTAAAAGTCTGCATACCAAAGATCATGACAAATATTTGACTCACATCAGTAACTAGGCAGATTAGAGGCAACACATTCACAGATCACAAAATGTCAAAGGTATGATTATTCACAATTAACCCTCTGTGACCCCACATCGGAGTAACTATTTCTGTGTTCTTCACTAAAAGTTTTTACCATATTGGCCTCACCTCCCATTTCCTTTGCTGAGAGATGGTAGCATGGTGTAAAGAAGTAAAACACGCACGACTAAATTAAGCCCTGTAAATGTTTTGAGGGTCACCTGCCAAAGCACAAAGCAAGAATCTAGAAAATGTGACACTCTTTGTCGTAAAATTTCTCCTGCGTAAATAGTGAAGGTCAAGGCCTGGCTTACTTAGACATCTCTTAAAATAAAAATAGGTGAGTTGGGGCAAAAGGGAAAGTAGCAGTGAGATGTTAAGAGGCTACCCACTCTTATCTTGCTTTTTGGCATTTCATTTTTGTGTTTTCAGCAGCAGAATATGAACAATCTGGTTGGATTCAGAATGAAAAATATCTTAATACATATTAGAAAGAACAAGATGTATGATGGAGGAACTCTACATTAAAGTGACATTGAGGCCAACAAATAAGCAGTTCTTTGTGTCTCTCTATTTGTTTCCATAAAATACTGTTTACATATTTTTTTTATGCGTCTGGTTTGGACTTCACGTCACTGCAGCAGTTGCACATGCAAATCTCTGCAGAGACTTGCACAGTGACAGGCAAAGAATGTGAACAAGTTGAG